TCCCACCGCACTTCGATCGAGTCCTCGCGCAAGTCGTTCTGGGTCACCCTGAAGTACGAGTTGATGTACCGCGTGAGCATGCCTGAAAAAGGAGACGCCAAGTTGGACACGGTCGTGACCAAGCCAAAGGTGGCCCCTTCGTTGCCCACGTCGGCGATCTCCACGGCGCAGAACGTGGACACGACAAAGCGGATGCCCTGCGGAACTTGCTCCGACAACGCCACCCCCGTGTAGAACCACTGGTTGCGGACGATGTTCCAAATCGTGAGAAACGTGGTGATCGAGTCCAGGGCCAGCACGGACACGGACGCAATGGCAATCGACCAGCGCCAGTTCCAGTGCAACCCCCACTTGGCCACGACCATCATGATGCCAGCAAAGATGCCGCTCGCAATAATGCCGGCCAACGAACTGTTGAGCGGCTCCACTTTGGCCCACGTACTGGCCATGGGCGAGTCCGCCGTGGAGCTGATGTTGCGGAACACTTGGCTGATGAACCGGAACGCGCAAATCTGCCACATCACACGCTTCTGCAGCAACTCCCAGAACCCCGACGCCCACACCCGGAACGGAATCGGCGGCGTCTTCTTCTCTTCCACGATGAAGATCGTCGACAACACCACCAGCACGCAAGGAGCCAAACAGATGCCGTACGGGACGTTGGGACTCATGGAAAACGAGAACGACCCCAGGTAGTTGGCGCCGTTCAAGCCAAACCCGACCACCACGTCCGCCATAATGCCGAAAATCGTGCGCACCGTGTAAATGCCAGTCAAGACACGGCCGCGGACAGCCAACGGCTCGCGCTGCGAGTACTCGGTCACCATCGCATCCGATGCACACACGGCCGTGACGTACCCCAACGACACGATCATGGACAACATGATGAACTTGGTGCCCTGGTCCGGAGCGCCCAAGTTGAACAAGTCCTTCTCCTTCTCCGACGCACGCGAGAAGACGCGGGAGCACGCCGTTGAGTTCATCGCCTTGGCCTTAACGCGGTCGCAGTACGGGTCCCCCAACGAAGAAAACGTCATCACAGTCAAGCAGATCATGGTCAAGGTCCACCCAATCAACATCCACGACTTGCGGCGGTAGCCAAAGATGGGAAAGCAGTCGGAAAACAATCCCATAAACACCTTGAACGACCAGCCCATGGTCACCAACTGACTGTACGCCGACGTCTGGTACCCCTCCAAGTTGAGGTACACGTTGAAAATGGGGTAGTTGAGCGACGGAATCATGCCGTAGATCACCCCCACCGCGGCGTACTGTGCGAACAACCCAAACGCTTCTCGGGAAAACAGGTCGAGGGCCCCGCCTGCGACGATGGCACCACCTTCCAGCTCACCCGGTGTCTT